TTCCTCAAATATGAGATGTCGGCAACAGCAACCCCCAGCTTCATTTCAAACCCAGCATAAAAAGAGGTCTTTCAGATCCAGACCTAAGATGAAACATCTGCTCCCTTTTCTTTGTCTTCTTTGAACACCAGGCCTCAGATTTGATGTGAGAATTGTGGACCAATCAGTGAGCATCTGTCCTTTTTAATTTAATGCTAGCCCAATTCATCAACAAATGGAGACTGATACCTTTCTGTTTGTAAACTATGTCCCTTTCTGTTTGTAATCTTGAATGGTCTGATAGACTGAGCTCAGGGTCTTACAGCCAGGAACTCTTGAGTTGTTGTAAAGCCTTTGCTGACACAGCTCCCTTAGTAACCTTAAGCCTCTTGCTTAACCTCTGAGTCAGATTCATCCCTGCTGTAACTCCATTAATTTCAAGAGTAATACCATGGATGAATTTGGCCCTCTTCTCCATTTTACAGATAAGGAAAATACTTAACTTTGTATACAGGTGTCATTAAAGACAGATTAATACTTGATATTTTCATGCAGCTATCAACTTACTTTAGGTGACATAATTTTGGACCACGTAATTGACACTTGAAGTGAAATCCTGGCTTTACTGAAGTCAGTGGTAGTTTTGCCATTGACTTCAAGGGGGCCAGGATTTCACCTTTGTGTATAAAGGGGTAGGATCTGTCAAATGGGGCAAGTCATGACTTAGCAGGCAGACTTGTAAAGCTGTCAATGTAAAGAAATGCTAAGGGGGCTACCACCTTGGAATCTAAGTGTCAGTAATATGAGCAGCAGAAATGTCCAACAAGGTGTCTTCTCTGTGTTGGTTTTCAAGTTGATAATAGGCCTGTTGAATTGCAGTTAACTCACACGATTAACTCAGAATTAATCTTGATTAAAAAATTAATCTTGATTGATCGCAGTTTTAATCACACTGTTAAACAACAGAATATCCACTGAAATTTAATATTTTTGGATGCTTTCTACATTTTCAAATATATTGATTTAAATTACAACACAATACAAAGTGCAGAGTGCTCAATTTATATTATTTTGATTACAAATATTTGCACTGTAAAAATAATAAAAGAAATAATATTTTTCAGTTCACCTCATACAAGTACTACAGTGCAATCTCTAGCGTGAAACTGCAACTTACTAATTTTTTTTGTAAAATAACTGCACTCAAACAAAACAATGTAAAACTTCAGCGCCTACCAGCCCACTTGGTACTACGTCTTGTTCAGCCAATTGCTAAGATAAACAAGTTTGCTTACATTTACAGGAGATAATGCTGCCTGCTTCTTATTTACAATGTAACCCAAAAGTGAAACAGGTTTTTGTATGGCACTTTTGTAGTTGGCATTGCAAGGTATTTACGTGCCAGATATGCTAAACATTCATATGCCCCTTCACGCTTTGGCCACAATTCCAGAGGACATGTTTCCATGCTGATGATGCTCGTTTAAAAAAATAATGCGTTAATTAAATTTGTGACTGAACTCCTTGGGGGAGAATTGTCTGTCCCCTGCTCTGTTTTACCTGCATTCTGCCATATATTTTGTTATAGCAGTCTCAGATGACCCAGCACATGTTGTTCGTTTTAAGAACACTTTCACTGCAGATTTGACAAAATGCAAAGAAGGTACCAATGTGAGATTTCTAAAGATAGCTACAGCAGTCGACCCAAGGTTTAAGAATCTGAAGCGCTTTCCAAAATCTGAGAGGGACGAGGTATGGAGCTTGCTTTCAGAAGTCTTAAAAGAGCAACACTCTGATGCCACCAAAAAAGAAAATCAGCCTTCTGCTGGTGGCATCTGACTCAGATGATGAACATGTTGGTCTGTACTGCTTTGGATCGTTATCGAGCAGAACCTGTCATCAGCATGGACACATCCTCTGAAATGGTGGTTGAAGCATGAAGGGACATATGAATCTTTAGCGCATCTGGCACGTAAACATCTTGCGACACAGGGTACAACTGTGCCATGCGAATGCCTGTTCTCACTTTTAGGTGACATTGTAAACAAGAAGCAGGCAGCATTATCTCCAGCAAATGTAAACAAACGTCTTTGTCTGTGCGATTGGCTGAACAAGAAGTAAGACTGAGTGGACTTGTAGGCTCTAAAGTTTTACATTTTGTTTTATTTTTGAATGCAGTTATTTTTTGTACATTTTTAAGTTCAACTTTCATGAAAAAGAGATTGCACTACAGTACTTGTATGAGGTGAACTGAAACATTTTTTTTACAGCGCAAATTTTTGTAATAAAAAATAAAGTAAGCACTGTATGCTTCGTAGGGTATGTCTACACTGCGGAATAAGGTCGAATTTATAGAAGTCGGTTTTTTAGAAATCGGTTTTATATATTCGAGTGTGTGTCCCCCCACAGAAAATGCTCTAAGTGCATTAAGTGCATTAACTCGGCGGAGCGCTTCCACAGTACCGAGGCTAGAGTCGACTTCCGGAGCGTTGCACTGTGGATAGCTATCCCACAGTTCCCGCAGTCTCCGCTGCCCATTGGAATTCTGGGTTGAGATCCCAATGCCTGATGGGGGCTAAAACATTGTCGCAGGTGGTTCTGGGTACATATCGTCAGGCCCCCGTTCCCTCCCTCCCTCCGTTAAAGCAAGGGCAGACAATCATTTCGCACCTTTTTTCCTGAGTGCCCTGTGCAGACGCCATACCACTGCAAGCATGGAGCCCGCTCAGGTAACCGTCACCCTATGTCTCCTGGGTGCTGGCAGACGCGGTACGGCATTGCTACGCAGTAGCAGCAACCCCTTGCCTTGTGGCAGCAGACGGTACAGTACGACTGGTAGCCGTCATCGTCATGTCCGAGGTGCTCCTGGCCACGTCGGCTGGGAGCGCCTGGGCAGACATGGGCGCAGGGACTAAATTTGGAGTGACTTGACCAGGTCATTCTCTTTAGTCCTGCAGTCAGTCCTATTGAACCGTCTTATGGTGAGCGGGCAGGCAATACGGACTGCTAGCAGTCGTACTGTACCATCTTCTGCCGAGCAGCCATGAGATGTGGATGGCATGCAGTCCTTCTGCACCGTCTGCTGCCAGCCAAAGATGTAAAAGATAGATGGAGTGGATCAAAACAAGAAATAGACCAGATTTGTTTTGTACTCATTTGCTTCCCCCCCTCCCCTGTCTAGGGGACTCATTCTTCTAGATCACACTGCAGTCACTCACAGAGAAGGTGCAGCGAGGTAAATCTAGCCATGTATCAATCAGAGGCCAGGCTAACCTCCTTGTTCCAATAAGAACGATAACTTAGGTGCACCATTTCTTATTGGAACCCTCCGTGAAGTCCTGCCTGAAATACTCCTTGATGTACAGGCACCCCCTTTGTTGATTTTAGCTCCCTGAAGCCAACCCTGTAAGCCGTGTCGTCAGTCGCCCCTCCCTCCGTCAGAGCAACGGCAGACAATCGTTCCACGCCTTTTTTCTGTGCGGACGCCATATCAAGGCAAGCATGGAGGCCGCTCAGCTCACTTTGGCAATTAGGAGCACATTAAACATCACACGCATTATCCAGCAGTATATGCAGCACCAGAACCTGGCAAAGCGATACCGGGCGAGGAGGCGACGTCAGCGCGGTCACGTGAGTGATCAGGACATGGACACAGATTTCTCTGAAAGCATGGGCCCTGCCAATGCATGCATCATGGTGCTAATGGGGCAGGTTCATGCTGTGGAACACCGATTCTGGGCTCGGGAAACAAGCACAGACTGGTGGGACCGCATAGTGTTGCAGGTCTGGGACAATTCCCAGTGGCTGCGAAACTTTCGCATGCGTAAGGGCACTTTCATGGAACTTTGTGACTTGCTTTCCCCTGCCCTGAGGCGCATGAATACCAAGATGAGAGCAGCCCTCACAGTTGAGAAGCGAGTGGCGATAGCCCTGTGGAAGCTTGCAACGCCAGACAGCTACCGGTCAGTTGGGAATCAATTTGGAGTGGGCAAATCTACTGTGGGGGCTGCTGTGATGCAAGTAGCCCACGCAATCAAAGATCTGCTGATATCAAGGGTAGTGACCCTGGGAAATGTGCAGGTCATAGTGGATGGCTTTGCTGAAATGGGATTCCCTAACTGTGGTGGGGCTATAGACGGAACCCATATCCCTATCTTGGCACCGGAGCACCAAACCGCCGAGTACATAAACCGCAAGGGGTACTTTTCAGTAGTGCTGCAAGCTCTGGTGGATCACAAGGGACGTTTCACCAACATCAACGTGGGATGGCCGGGAAAGGTGCATGATGCTCGCATCTTCAGGAACTCTGGTCTGTTTCAAAAGCTGCAGGAAGGGACTTTATTCCCAGACCAGAAAATAACTGTTGGGATGTTGAAATGCCTATATGTATCCTTGGGGACCCAGCCTACCCCTTAATGCCATGGCTCATGAAGCCGTACACAGGCAGCCTGGACAGTAGTCAGGAGCTGTTCAACTACAGGCTGAGCAAGTGCAGAATGGTGGTAGAATGTGCATTTGGACGTTTAAAGGCGCGCTGGCGCAGTTTACTGACTCGCTTAGACCTCAGTGAAACCAATATTCCCACTGTTATTACTGCTTGCTGTGTGCTCCACAATATCTGTGAGAGTAAGGGGGAGATGTTTATGGCGGGGTGGGAGGTTGAGGCAAATCGCCTGGCTGCTGGTTACGCGCAGCCAGACACCAGGGCGGTTAGAAGAGCACAGGAGGGCGCGGTACGCATCAGAGAAGCTTTGAAAACCAGTTTCATGACTGGCCAGGCTACGGTGTGAAAGTTATGTTTGTTTCTCCTTGATGAAACCCCCCGCCCCTTGGTTCACTCTACTTCCCTGTAAGCTAACCACCCGCCCCTCCTCCCTTCAATCACCGCTTGCAGAGGCAATAAAGTCATTGTTGCTTCACATTCATGCATTCTTTATTCATTCATCACACAAATAGGGGGATGACTACCAAGGTAGCCCAGGAGGGGTGGTGGAGGAGGGAAGGAAAATGCCACACAGCACTTTAAAAGTTTACAACTTTAAAATTTATTGAATGACAGCCTTCTTTTTTTGGGGCAATCCTCTGTGGTGGAGTGGCTGGTTGGCCGGAGGCCCCCCCACCGCGTTCTTGGGCGTCTGGGCGTGGAGGCTATGGAACTTGGGGAGGAGGACGGTTGGTTACAGAGGGGCTGCAGTGGCAGTCTGTGCTCCAGCTGCCTTTGCTGCAGCTCAACCATACACTGGAGCATACTGGTTTGGTCCTGCAGCAGCCTCAGCATTGAATCCTGCCTCCTCTCATCACGCTGCCGCCACATTTGAGCTTCAGCCCTCTCTTCAGCCCGCCACTTACTCTCTTCAGCCCGCCACCTCTCCTCCCGGTCATTTTGTGCTTTCCTGCACTCTGACATTATTTGCCTCCACGCATTCGTCTGTGCTCTGTCAGTGTGGGAGGACAGCATGAGCTCGGAGAACATTTCATCACGAGTGCGTTTTTTTTTCTTTCTAAGCTTCACTAGCCTCTGCGAAGGAGAAGATCCTGTGATCATTGAAACACATGCAGCTGGTGGAGAAAAAAAAAAAGGGACAGCGGTATTTAAAAAGACACATTTTATAAAACAGTGGCTACACTCTTTCAGGGTAAACCTTGCTGTTAACATTACATACATAGCACATGTGCTTTCATTACAAGGTCGCAGTTTGCCTCCTCCCACCGCGTGACAACCCCCTCAACCTTCCCCCCTCCCTGTGGCTAACAGTGGGGAACATTTCTGTTTAGCTACAGGCAAACAGCCCAGCAGGAATGGGCTCCTCTGAGTGTCCCCTGAAGAAAAGCACTCTATTTCAACCAGGTGACCATGAATTATATCTCACTCTCCTGAGGATAACACAGAGAGATAAAGAACGGATGTTGTTTGAATGCCAGCAAACATAAACTGCAATGCTTTGTTGTACAATGATTCCCGAGTACGTGTTACTGGCCTGGAGTGGTAAAGTGTCCTACCATGAAGGACGCAATAAGGCTGCCCTCCCCAGAAACCTTTTGCAAAGGCTTTAGGACTACATCTAGGAGAACCGCAAATGCCAGGGCAAAGTAATCCTTTCACATGCTTGCTTTTAAACCATGTATAGTATTTTAAAAGGTACACTCACTGGAGGTCCCTTCTCCGCCTGCTGGGTCCAGGAGGCAGCCTTGGGTGGGTTCGGGGGGTACTGGCTCCAGGTCTAGGGTGAGAAACAGTTCCTGGCTGTCGGGAAAACCGGTTTCTCCGCTTGCTTGCTGTGAGCTATCTACAACCTCCTCCTCATCATCATCTTCTTCGTCCCCAAAACCTGCTTCCGTATTGCCTCCATCTCCATTGAAGGAGTCAAAGAACACGGCTGGGGTAGTGGTGGCTGAACCCCCTAAAATGGCATGCAGCTCATCATAGAAGCGGCATGTTTGGGGCTCTGACCCAGAGCGGCTGTTCGCCTCTCTGGTTTTCTGGTAGGCTTGCCTCAGCTCCTTCAGTTTCACGCGGCACTGCTTCGGGTCCCTGTTATGGCCTCTGTCCTTCATGCCCTGGGAGATTTTGACAAAGGTTTTGGCATTTCGAAAACTGGAACGGAGTTCTGATAGCACGGATTCCTCTCCCCAAACAGCGATCAGATCCCGTACCTCCCGTTCGGTCCATGCTGGAGCTCTTTTGCGATTCTGGGACTCCATCATGGTCACCTCTGCTGATGAGCTCTGCATGGTCACCTGCAGCTTGCCACGCTGGCCAAACAGGAAATGAGATTCAAAAGTTCGTGGTTTTTTTCCTGTCTACCTGGCCAGTGCATCTGAGTTGAGAGTGCTGTCCAGAGCGGTCATAATGGAGCACTCTGGGATAGCTCCCGGAGGCCAATACCATCGAATTGTGTCCACAGTACCCCAAATTCGAGCCGGCAACGTCGATTTAAGCGCTAATCCACTTGTCAGGGGTGGAGTAAGGAAATCGATTTTAAGAGCCCTTTAAGTCGAAATAAAGGGCTTCATTGTGTGGACGGGTGCAGGTTTACATCGATTTAACGCTGCTAAATTCGACCTAAAGTCCTAGTGTAGACCAGGGTGTAGTCGGTGTTGTAATTGAAATCAATATATTTGAAAATGTAGAAAACATCCAAAATATTTAAATGAATGGTATTCTATTGTTTAACAGCATGATTAATCGTGCAATTAATTTTTTAAATCACTTGACAGCCCTAGTTGATAACCTTACTGACTAGCCTTATTTTTACAGGCACCAGTTTGACTCAATTTGTCTCACAATTTATGACTGACTATTGTACTGTAAAACACTCAGCATGTCCACACGACCCCATAGAAAGCTGACACATGTACCAAAGTATAAGTCTAATTTAATTTTGGCTGATTTATAGTGGCTACTCAGCGTTGTTCACTTAACTTCAGTTTGAAAATACAGTGTTTTGTTTGAAGGAATTTGTGGTGGTCTGATTTGAATTCTCTCATTTAGATAACCATTTGTATCCCGCAGCACTAGACAGTTAAACAGAGAAATACAGAATCCTTCCCAGTGTAAAATTCAAGATTGTCTAAAGTGTCTATACTAGATTTTAAAGAAATCCCATTTATTTTATAGGGTGTATAGCCATCTCAAATAGGGTTTTCGGCTTTTTGAAAATGGAATTCAGGATCATCCTTCAAATATAATAAGGTAAGTTAGTCCTTTTCAAACCTGAATTTGCCTCCATCCCCACAAAGTCCCAATTACTGTATTCTTACTAAAGCAGGCTTACTGACTTTACATGAAGCTTAGATTTTTTTTTATACTGATTTAAAAAAAATTAAAATCTTGAAGTGAGGAGATATACCCCTCAATTTGGGGAATATTTTTAAGTGTCAGTCAGATGATGAGTCATAGGGCAATGGCTCCCTGTTCTTCAAACATTCCCCTCCCCTAGTCCTCCCTCCACCTGGTGACTGATCAAACAGGACAAGCTCATTACTACTAATTTACAACAGGAAGATGAAGAACGCAGCTATGTAGATGGCCATCTGTTTTTTATGGGTTATTTAAAGGCAGCATGAAGACTGTAACTTGTGGCATACCAACTACCAAACACCTTTTTTGTATTCAGAGTACCCCACTGAACCAACCTATCTTGGTAGAAAAAGCAAAGACGATTGTGAGGCAGTAGCCTATATCAATCCAAAGAAAACCCTCTAGCAGCTCCTAACTCGAACACTGTGAACAGATGCAACTACCCTGGTCAAACAGAGAAGCCCGTCAGGCCCACAATGCACAACCTCAACGCTCAAGGCCCAATAGCAACTTACTGGAGGTGAAAATTTTCATATTAGTTCACTAAAACTGCAACACCAAGAAAAGTTGATTTGAGAGCTAGACTCGCCTGGCAGAGTAACACTCAGGCAAAGTTTCAGATAAAATAGCTAACTTGGGCAATAGCCTGTTTCACACATTTTGTCCACTCAGCTTCTTCCTATAATTTTAAGACCTAGTCCATCTCTTGGTAATTGCAGGATTGTTGCTTATATTGAGTGTTTTGTTTACTTCAATTCTGAACATCTTAAACAGGCTTCCCAGTTCTGTGGGAGATTGTTCTAGTCTAACTGATGATCAATGCTTTCCAATTTTTGTCAATGGTATTTTTTTTTTTAACCCCTACCTGAGCTTGTCTTCCTCTGAGGAAAGCTGGTCTTGCTTTATCTCTTTTGTCTTGATAGCTCCCTTGACAGTGTAGTGGAACTAGGGCAGAATGCTAACATTTGAGTGACTTGGGCCTTTTTCCTATGAAGGGTTGGGTGGGATGACTTTTAGTGATCCCATATTTAGGGTAAGTAGACCAGAAATGACATATGTGAAGATGGGATATGGTCTATTAGCTGAATCTGCAGCAGCCTTTCTGGTTTTCTGCCAAACTTGGATTTGTGCTAAGATTTTGTGCATGCTTATTTTTTTTCTTAATTTACTTGGCTGCTTTCCTTTGACTATGCTACTTCATGCTGCTTGATATCAATAATGAGCCTGAAGAATTTCAGGGTGAGAAATTTCTGTGCATGCTGTGGGAGGCTTCTCACTTTCCAATTATTTTACCTTTTCATCCTGCTCTGAACTTAGTTATTTTTAGAACACTTCTAGCCTTGTTTTCTGGATTGCAAAGAAGTTACCATCAAGTGACTTAAGGACAAGATCTCCTAAGAGCCTCCACTATAGTACTTTTTCTGTATACTATGTAAGAGCCTAAAGTCTTCCACCTTTTTAATAGGTGATCGCTTTCTCTAAAATTGAGGTGAATAAGAAGCCCTTCTTATTTAAAAACAGACTCTTTTCGACCCTAGGTTTTTAGTATCACAATCTACCTGGTTTCAGAGTAGCAGCCGTGTTAGTCTGTATTCACAAAAAGAAAAGGAGTACTTGGGGCACCTTAGAGACTAACCAATTTATTTGAGCATAAGCTTTCATGCATCCGCTGAAGTGAGCTCACAAAAGCTCATGCTCAAATAAATTGGTTAGTCTCTAAGGTGCCCCAAGTGCTCCTTTTCTTTTTGCGATCTACCTCGTGAAAGCCAAGCCCTTCCTGCCATTTTTTGTCCGAGGTTGTGCGGGCTGCAGGACGGGACGCGAGGGCAGGACCGTGACTCCACAGTTGCGGGGACTGCCCCCAGCCCCTTTCCCGGACCGCATACCCAGCACGACAAGTGCGCAGCGTCCTTCCGGCCGCTCCCCTGCGCTGGCTGCGGGCTCTGGCGGGCTGGCGTCAATGCAAAGGCCGCGCTCGATTCCCGCCCTCTGGCCGCCGGACCCCGCCCCGCTACTGGCGCGGGGGTCACCGGAACAGCTACACGGGAAGCGGAAGTGAGGTCATCGGGTGGGGGCGGGGCCCGGGGCGGAAGCAGCTGGGGCCGGACGCTCGGAAGGGAAACAAGAAACCAGCAGCGGTGAGTGGCGGGGGAGGGGGGCCGCGTGCTCCGAGGGGCCTGGAGTCTCGGGTGAGTCCCGGCGGGGGCGGCTCCGGCCCCTGTGACTCCCGGCGCTGCGCCGATCCCGGAGCCCGGGCTGGGTGCGCCTTGTACGGGCCTGGGCCCCGCTCGCTGAGCGCTGCTGGGCTCCGGGAGCCGCTGACCCCGCAGGGCCTAGGGAGGGGCTGGCGCCCGGACGGTCCCTGCTTGTGTTCCGGGGCAGCAGGGCCGGTAGGAGGCCCACGGCTAGAGCGGCGGGGGTTGAAGGGACGGACACGGGCTCCTCCTCCCAGTGCTTCCTTCCTCCACACCCGAGTTGATTGTTTGTGTTACTGGAGCGCCAGAGCCCAGCCCTGACCCAGGGGCCCCCTTGTGCCAGGCGCTGCCCAGGCCGGAACAAAAAGATGGTGCCTGCCCCCAAAGAGCTTTACAATCTGAGGGGGTGAGGGGCGCTGCTGGGCAGGTTGGAGGCGCTGCTGCTGCAGCTCACCCCCCTGTAGCCAGGCCGTAACTCTGACATCTTTAACCTGCACCAAATATTCTTACACGTCAAACAAACAAAAGCTCTGGCAAGGATCGCTTGTACAGGAGGGGTTTGACTTTAGGTGCAGAATCATATGTATCTATTTTTATCTTCTTTAGACTTCAATAAAAATTCTTCAGGGCAGCAGCTACTTGAAGTTGCATCATGTCTGCTTTCAGAGTAACAGCCGTGTTAGTCTGTATTCACAAAAAGAAAAGGAGTACTTGTGGCACCTTAGAGACTAACCAAGGTGCTCCCACCTTTTAAGCATCTGACTTGAGACTGGAGGGAAGCTTTTAATTCATTAATGCAAGACCTAAGTATTTAGTTCTTATTCTGTAGTTTTCTGGGCTTTACTATGTAGAAGCCAGTTTAGTAGTGTGGTTGATGGAAGGTTTGAGTTATGCTTGCTCTCGAAACAAAATTTAGAATGTGTGGTAAGAACTGAAGACGTTTTTGGAGTGTGAAACTGTCCAGTACCACAGTGACAGTCTATTCTGACAACATTAAAATGATTAGATGGAGAGAGGAGGTTCCTTTCTAGCAAATGCTTGTGAAGTGGCTGACCAATTGGCCATAGCCATTGATGGAAACAGAATTTATCCTGAAGAAGAGAGTAGCAGGGATTCCTGGGTCCTTTTAATATAGGGATTTATATTACACTAATTATTGACATATCTAGGTTATGTATTTCCTGTAATTTAGCTTTATCCTACAGCTGTTTTGTTAACTGTGGGACTGTCATCTTATTGGTCAACACTGATTTCTTTTGCACTCAAAGTAAAGAGATCCAGATCTCAGTGCCTGGAGGAACTGAGTTTAGTGCTTGCCTCTGATTCTGAGGAGTGCTGCAGAGGCAGATCTACTGGGCTCTCAAGGAAGAGTGTCTTATTGTTGGGATTTTGAGCATTTCTGATATGGAGGCCTCTGCTAAGCATTGCAACTCTCAGATACTACTTTATGGTTACAAACCCCCTTTGAAAGGACTTCCTTTGCAGTCTGTCTATGCCTCTTCTAAATCAACAGGTCACCAAGCAGTGATGTGTAGTTCCGAGTCCTACCGTTGCTTCCATAGCATTGTTAGCTATATATCTGCAACTTCAGGAAATAAGAAGCCCTAACAATGTAACTGAATTCCACATTGCATTACTGTTCCGAGGGATGACTTATTTGTTAGATGCATGTTGTGGCAATTACTTTAAAGTGGGGTTAAGAGGATCACAGTGAATTGGACATACAAGAAACTAAAGCATTGAGCAGACTGATTTATAGGGAGGAGTGAAACTGGGTGACTTGTTTGATGCTATTTCACAGCGTAGGGTTAAGAATCCAATGAATTCTGCCACAGCAAGTGCCATGGTAGGCCAAACCGTGGGATTATTGAAGTTACCAGATCATATAATCAGATGTTCACTGTCCTCTAAGTGACAATAGCCAATTCAGTCCTGCAGGTTCCTTCATTGTGAATAGTGGGAGAAGGGAGAGTATTGACCACATCTGACTACCCACTGATCTTACCACCAGGGCTGAAACTGCCAGGAAATGTTACTGGTGATAGCATTGTTCAGAATCCCTTGTCAGGCCGCTGCTGATGGTAAAGTAATATCTCTAACTTCTAGATCAACACTGAGGTTATGCTAGCAATTAAAACAAAATCCCAGTTCAAGTAATTTGTTAAATAATGCAAGGTTTACCTTTCTGTGGTTTTTAGACTGAGAAATATTTTTACAAGATAAGTTTGCAGGTTGAAATGTCTATAGCAAAATTGCTTTGTCAAATTTAGAAGGAACATACAATACTGCTAAAACAGATGATGTCCTGTTATGAAGTTTGTAATAGACTCTGGAGTGTTTGGTAATTAAAACAATTGCCTTCTGGTTGGGTAAAGTACACTTTCCTTTCTGTTCCTAATTTAAAGAGACACTTGACTTAATAGTGTTAGAAAGAAACACATTTGTTTACACATTACTAATAACTTAGATGATTAAATGTAAAGTTTTTAAAATTAAATTTACCATGACTGTAACTCACTGCTCTGTTTCCTTTTTCATTTTGATGGGGAAAATAGTCAGTTTTGCTTATACTCATTCACTTCTAGGTTCTTCTCAGTACTGTAATATTTTGGCTTCAGACATTTTAGGGTCATAGATTCCAAGGGCAGAAGGGACCGTTGTTGTTATCTAGTCTGGCATCTTGTATAACAGAGGGGCCATAGAACTTCCCCAGAATAATTCTTAAAGCATATCTTTTAGAAAAACACCCCATTTTGATTTAAAAATTGAGAGTGATGGAGAATCCACCACAACCCTTGGTAAATTGTTCCAATGGTTAGTTGCTCTTTTTTTTTTTAAAAAGAGTCTTATTTCTAGGGCCCTACCAAGTTAACAACCATGAAAAATGCATTGTGGACCGTGAAATCTGGCTAGTGTAGGAGAGGGGCAGAGCTGGGGGTGCCCCAGCCAATGACTCCTATCTAGCTGCTAATCATGGCCAGGCTGGGCAGCGATGGGACTTCCTCGTCCCCTGCTGCAGCTGGGGAAGGTTCTTGGAGGTGGATTTGACCTGGGAGCAGCCCCTGCAGGGGAAGAGGAAGTCCTGTCCCTTCCCAGCCCTGCTAAGACTAGCAGCTGGAGCCCGATGTGCGGTATGAGGCCCTGGCTGAAACGTCCCAAGCCCTGCCCCTCACCCACTCCAGGCCCAATGTTCAAGACCTAAAGAGTTCTTTGGCTGCCTGGGGAGGGTACAGACCACGGCACCCCCTGACCATGGGGCTGGTGGTTGCCCACCAATAAGGCCAGCCCTGCTCCCGGAAAAGTGATGACCCTGCATATGCTGTGACCTCCCCCCTACAATAGCTTTAGGACACCCTTATGGGTCACGACCCCCACAGTTATAATACCTTGAAATTTCACATGTAAACATCTGAAACTGTGAAACTGACTATTTTTAAAATCTTATGACCATGAAATTGACCGAAATGGGCTGTGGCTTGGTAGGGCCCTACTTATTTCGAGTCTGAATTTGGATAGCTTCAACTTCCAACCATTGGATCATGTTATACCTTTCTCTACTAGGTTGAAGAACCCATTATTCAATACTAATTTCCCACGTAGGTACTTATGGGCTGTGATCAGGTCGCTCCTTAGCCTTCTCTCTGTTAGTCTGAACTCCTTGAGTTTATCCTGTATGTCATGTTTTCTAATCCTTCAATTCTTATCATGGCTCTTCTCTGAACCGTCTCCAATACATCAACATCCTTCTAGAATTGTGGGCACCAGAACTGGACACAATATTTCGGCAGCAGGCAGTCACATAGAATCATAGAATATCAGGGTTGGAAGGGACCTCAGGAGGTCATCTAGTCCAACCCCCTGCTCAAAGCAGGACCAGTTCCCAACTAAATCACCCCAGCCAGGGCTTTGTCAAGCCTGACCTTAAAAACCTCAAAGGAAGGAGATTCCACCACCTCCCGAGATAACGCATTCCAGTGCTTCACTACCTTCCTAGTGAAAAAGTTTTTCCTAATATCCAACACTTGTGTCAAATATAGAGGTAACATAATTTCCTACCCAAGACTCCCCTATTTATACATCTGAGGATTGTATTAACTGTTTTGGCTACAGTGTCGCACTGGCATCTCATGTCCAGCTCATTACCCACAATAATCCCTAAATCTTTTTTTAGAGTGTCTGCTTCCCAGGAAGGAATCCCCCATCCTGTAAGTATGGCCTATGTTCTTTCTTCCTAGATGTATACATTTACACTTAGCCACATCTTGTTTGTTTGTGCCCAGTTTACCTAGCAATTCAGATCACTCTGTATCAGTGACTTGTCCTCTTCTTATTTACCACTCCCCCAATTTTTGTATCATCTGCAAATTGTATCAGTGATTTTTTCCAGGTCATTAATAAAAATGTTAAATAGCATAGGGCCAAGAGCAGGTCGCTGTGGGACACCACTAGAAACACACCTGGTCAATGATGATTTCCTGTTTATA